AGAGTCAGTACACCATTGGCTTCTTATTTTCAAACAGCCAATTAAAAATATAGCTACAGGGAAGCAGATAAGTTTCACAACCATTGTTTTGCAACAGTTCTTCATCAAGGACAACACGGTATTCCATCAGTCACCGTAAGTCTGTGGAACCCGTGTACAGATGCTGTACACATATAATGTGATAGTACACCAAATTCTCACTTATCAAAAGCCACCAACAAAAATGGCATCGATGTAGTTTACATTGTGGTACTATTGGTATCTTTCCTAAGGTCCTAAGTGACAAACACCAAATGGAATAGGTGGCTGAGCATAAGACTTGCTTGAGAATACTGATTCTCAGGAAAAAAATAGGACGGGGTAGAGATCATGTGTTAGGATTAGATTTTAATGGTCTTGGTAGCATTAAGAGTGATATTAGAGTCAGGATGGTCCAGGAATTATGCAGAAGCAATGACAGTTATATTTTGTGTCTAATTCTATCACAACTGTACAGCTGGTCCAATAAGCTATCAATCTAATTTGTCTCTCTATTTAAATGAAGCTCTCAAAAGCTGTGCAAGGAAGGTCTTTCAGAATTCACGGTAGGAGGTGGACTATCATCTAAAGCTTCATTTACAATTGTTAAGAAAGTTTTCTGATAAATACTTTATTGTCAAAGGGCCCCCAAATAATGCTATGACCCGAGGAAAAATGTTATATTTCCATGATTTAGATGTTATTCATTGGAAATACAATACAGGGTTCCACCTTTCCCCACTTAAACAAACAAACAAAAAATCTTCATTTAAAAATTTTACGCACCATGTGCGCACCATTCCACAATATATTGTGTTTTCTGTCCAACTTTTCCTCCTTAAATTGATGTAGACAATGAGCAGGAAGTTAAATTTTGCTAGCTAGTTTAAATGCATGTCTACTTTATTTTACTTGCATTGTATGATATTTATCTTCACATATGGAAGTGACCACAGGCCAATTACATCGTCAAATAGACTACGAACAGTTATTTGCATGTGTGATTCCATAAACATGAGAACACTTGAGCATAACATAGTATTGCCAGAAGCAATTTTGTCTGCTTTCACAGTAGCAAAATAAAACCATACTTAAAGTGTAAGAGACCACTGAACTCCTGCCTTTGGAGTATACTGAAAGGGGGCCCCAGCTCAGCAGTTTGGACATTGAGTGGCAAACACCATCTGTATCCTTTTCCCTTCCATAAAAGGAACCTTTATAGTGGAGAAAAGGAAAACAAAGAAAGATTACTACCAGTAGTTATAAATACTCAAATGAATAGTTAATCATCCATTAAGAGCATGAATTCTCATGAGACATTGATTCAATAGCCTTGCATTTTTGACCAATTTGTTTTAGTACATATATTGAACTGTGGGATCTTAGGCTGTACTATACCACAGAGCACCCAAAAAGAAATCAGACTCTTCAATATTTAATTTTTTCCTAATCACCCTAATTCTGGTATTTTTAGCAGCTGATCAAAAAATGCAATAAAAAACAAATTAAAAAGCTAGTATTCTTCATGTGTTTTACCAGGGACTGTATTCTTGACATCTGATCATATAATTCATGGAAGCAGCAACTGAATTAGGTACATGTACTGATTTGCTGCTTGTCATTAAAACTCTAAAAACTATTAACTGGTTATAAAGATGCTCAGTATTAGAACTACTTGCAGAGGGTTAGACACTTAGGAGGGGGTGGAAGAAAATCTCATTTCATTGACCAGTAACAAACATATGACAGTTCTGATACCTACAATAGTTCTGGCTGCATCAGGAAGTAATGTTGTACCTTAAACAAGGTTAAAACTGAAGAGTTCTTGGTGGATTAACCAGTTCAACAGTTTAAATGGCAGTTTAATAAAGGTTGTAACAGCAAGTCAGTCTATGAAGCAAGTTCTCTATGGTCTTCATATTGTAAGTTTATGTTTCATGAAAGAAGTCCCAATATTTAATTTTAAAAATATAAAGCTTAAAAAAACCCCCAAAGTTTAATAATAATTGAAAAAAAAAGTAGGTGATACGTAACTGACACCAAGCGGCAGTATAACAAACTGGTGTGGACTTTGTTTCCCTTAAGTATAAATAAAACATTAGCACCACCATGAGGTAGCCAATAGAATACTAAAAGACAGGAGATGTAGAATACATTAAAGGACCAATTATAGCCATAGTTGTGAAGGGAGCACTGAAAGGGTAAATCATATGCATTTCCCTTTTATTTTCCCCATGTATGCGTACTTTCTGAAGGACAAACCATTCTGTGTAAAAATATCTTCACATTGTTTGCTGCTTGTTTTTCTGCTGTCTTGTGCAGTTATGTGACAACACTTAAGGTCTGAACCTAGTCACCCAAGTTAGTTTATCTTCCTCCCATCTCAGTCAGCGAAAGCAAACGAACACTGCCGTTTCAGAGAGAATGCTCACTCAATGTGGGAACTTAAGTGTGTTTTTAGATGTTTTCCTGAATTGGATTTAAGTAAGCTCCAAGTGACTTGTCTATGCAGTATGAACCTTTAGGAACAGCCAAAAAACCTCTTGCATCCTAAAACCAACAAGACACTTGTTGCCAGCTACACTGGAACAAACTACACTGCTTAAAAAAGTGAGTTTGGTTTGCACAGTAATTTTAACTTTCTAAGTTCTTTGAATTTCACCAGACAGAAAATTCTTACCTGTGTTTGGACACTGTTGCTTGCATTTTTTTTTTTTTTTCCACTCATCCATCTACCTCTGAGTTACTCAAAATTCCAAAGTAACAAGTCATGCATTGAAATTTCTTGACACGTTACTAGAGCAATTTTAATCAATGTACCATCTCAACTAGAAACCAAAACGTTTCCTAAAGCAATGATCTCAACAAGAAAGCTGGGCCCAGTGTTATGTTCTGCTTAGCACATTCTGAAGGTCTAGCAAAGTTCTCTAATTGGGAAGTTTTGCTGAAGCCCTCATGAGGTCGTGTATAAAGAATTTCAGCAAAAGCCTCTGAAGAATGTATCTATTGAGTATGGCCAAAAGTTGGCCTGATTCCATACCATTCAATGCCAATAATTCTCAAACTCCAGTGCTCAGAATACAGAGAGAGTCTGAAATTTTAACAAGATCTGTTCAAAATTTTCTAAATTATTTTACAATGGAAATATTTTAAATTAAAAAAAATCCACAGAATTGTACTAATTCTATTTTTTTGTGCCTTGCATTAAATGATTTTTGACATTTTTGTAATAAAGTTTACTTAAAATAGACCTAAATGAACATCTATTTTATGAGTTTAACTGCAACTTGTAATCACGTGTGAACCATTCATTTTTCCCTCCTTTTTATTTATAATAATAATTGTAGGTGTTATTTTCAACAACAGTAGTTGATCCCTACAACCAGAAATAATTCCATTACAATGGTGTCAGAGAAAAAATTGTCTTACAAAGCCATTAAAAATAAATCCTCCTGTAATATATTAAGGAGCTTTTCTGAGTTCAGAGGGAGAACCCCCCCCCCCCCCCAATAGATTTTTGGCTCTGTAATGGAAGTTATATAAACGATTACGCCATTATTAGTTCTTGCCCATTTGGTAATGATAAATTCACTTCACTACTATAGATCTGCTCATCTTTCTTAAACACTCTACTATAATTAAACTGGCATCTTAATAATACTGCACTGCTTTCTTCTCCCTACCCCAACCCCCAGGTTCAGGAGGGATATTTTTATTGAAGTTACTTTTTATTTCTGATGGACACAAACTGCAGTTGCATTCTGGGTATACACTGCTTGCTAGTAATAGAGCAGGTGCAGTACTGCAATCCTCGCAGTTTATTATAATACCATTTTTGCTCACAAAAATGTGGTCTTATAATACCATAGGGCATGGGACAACTTGAAAATGTGCACCCCAGAAATAGCAACTATACATTTTTTAAACAATACTTATCAAGTGCTAACCAACAGCTTTGTTAAGTCACTAAAAATAACTGAACTCTGAAGTTCTCACTTGAACCCATCCAACTTAAGAAATATAAAAACTTTTAGGGAACATTCCGATAGTTAAATTAATTTTCAGACACAAATCTGACTATCAGGGATTATAGGGGAGTATTCACAAGGATAATCGGGCCGGTCACATGTCTTTGTAAAATGAGATTTTTTTCAATCTTAGCATTTATATTACTGCCACTTGCAATGCTTACAAACTTTGCAGTCACCTGGTGCCAGGGTGAAGCCCATCTCTGTCCTCTTGCTGCACTCTAAAAGAATCAGGGTGTGAACACCAGACACATTTATGCTAGTGCAAAGCAAGTTACTTCACCCTTGGAAAGTCAGGGATAACTATACACTGGTGCATGGATCATTTGTCCACATGTTCAATTAAGGTCCTCTGAGCAACTTTGATCAAATAGGCTATTATTGACTCCTTTACCTTGATGTGAGTGTTGCAATAACACTGAATGAGGGCAGCTACCTCAGAAGAGTTGGTCACTGATCTTCTCTAGAGCATGGTGTAACTTATATCTGTACATAACCAGTGTAAAAGACACGTGTTGTTCCTCCACACTCAGAAGCAAATGCGAAGTGGGGTGATTTATTGCTTAACTGAACCTTGTTCATGGCGAAGGGTTAGAAGATTTAATTTCTGAAGTGTTTAAAAAGAAATGCAAAATAGTAAACTTACAGTAGTTATCTTAAAATAATGCACTTGAGTTGAAGTGGTTGGTTATACTTTGCAATTAAGAGCATCTTCAGAGCCAAGATTTCTTAAAAAGGTAGGTTATACTATGAAAACTGAACGTAGACTAAATAGCATAAATGAAGTAAAAACAATTAAGTCTGAGTTGAAGAAATTTTTAAAGAGTAAAGTTTTCATATTCCTGACTGAATTGAATAAATGAAATTTGTGTTTTCAGCAGATCAAAAAGCTCTGCAACCCATGATTCTGTGAACCAGCTCATTCAAGTGTAAAGACAAAGAAATATCAAAATATTATTTGGGAGTAATTCTTCTTTTATTAGGTCAACTTTTAAGATAGCTAATACAGTCTACATCCTTGAACAATGCTGTTTGACATGCAAGAATAGTGAGTTTATTTTATTTATTTTTAGAGTTATTGTAAATACTGCTGCTCACAGGCAGCACAGGATTTCAGTATTTTCAGTGTGTAACCTCTATTACTTAAGTCTTGCCTGAAGTGTGACACAATCAGAATGTTCTGAACAGCTGGTTAGGAAGGTAGCCAAGATGCAAGAAAGATGTCTGAGCTTCTTTTTCAAGGGCAGCCAACTCTTGCACTGTAGGTGCCAAAATATCCACATGGCCTTTATAAAGACCACCTGCCAAAAAAAGAACCACTCTAAATCACATGCTTGAAATAACTTGCCAGCAGTACTTACGTTCCACTGCAATTGTTCATAGTTAGTTATTCCACCCTTCCCAACATACTGAGAAACTTGTTCCCTGCCATATTCACAGAATACATTCAATCTATACACACTTCTTGTTTATCCAGACAAAAATATATATTTTTTCATTTAACCATCATCCTCTGATTTATAAAGCTTGTGTATTTTAAAACTGTACCTAAGCTATTAAAACATACTAGAGAGAGCTAATTAGGGACCTAGCAAATTTACAGTTTTGCGATGTTTATGGGAACGACGAATTTGGTAGGTCCCCTGTGAAAAAGACCGGTCCCCGCAAAAAAGCAAGAAGGAGAAGCTGCAAACAGAGGTCAGAAGGCCTGGCATCCTGAAGCACAGGGAGAGGGAGTGCAACTGGCTGAGGGGTCAAATCCTGCCCCCCCCCCCCAGATTGATGGCCACCCGTTAACCTTTGGGGAGGGGTGGCAGGGCCCCCCCTCACCTCTGATTGGTCAAGGGGCCCCAGAAGTCCCACCCTTCCTTGGAGACTGACAGATGGCATGGGGCTGGGAGGTGGCACTTCACTGCAAAAAGTGGTGCTTGATTGCGCTGGGACCATTAAATCTGGAGGAATGCCTTCATTTCTACATATAAAATATACATCCATGTTGTTAGCCAATTTAAAACAAAATCTACATTCACAGGTGGATGCAACTACATACTTATGAAGACGTGGGATACCTCATTACCACAGATGTTAATATTTGACAGCTTGGATTAAAAATGAAGTTGTCATGCTTTGAAAAATACCCTGTCACTGGAGAAGTCTTCAAGTGGTTATGTAATCCAGAAATCATAAGAGGGACCTTTTTCCCTAGTTAATTGGATTATTGTCAGTTAAATTATAGTTATACAGCAAGCTACACACTGCAATATTTCTGGTGATAAACCAAAGACAGAGCAAAAAACTCATTGAAGACTCACCGCCCAAAGCTCTTTTTTGTCCATATGTAACCTTCCCATCGAAGTCATCTACTGGTACTTTAATATCTGGCTCAACTTGGGAAATAGTACAGTTCAGATGCTCTTCAATCTCTCCCAAGAGCTAAGAAAAAAATAAATTCAAGAACGTTTGTTTAAAAGGATTGCTTTTCTCAAGGCAGATAAACCAGGGGCAAGCTATATTCATGTCTCAATAGGAGCTGTACATAACCAAGAAGAATATGGCCTTAAAGAAAAATGGTTCACAAGTGTATACATGTAAGTTATCATAGTTATTTAACAAAGTCTCTGCCTTCAGCCCACACTAAAACTGCAAGTTACACTGCATTTACTATCATCTATAATACAATGATAGGAGCTGCAAAAGTCAATTTTTTATATAAACAGGATCCTATAGATGTTTACATATAAAACAAATTTTAAGGGTTTTCACTTTAAAAAGTATTTTTAGTTTGGTAATCCATGGGATGTTCAAAATAATCAGTTTATGCTTGAATTTTACTGACAGAATAAAATAATAAACCATATATCTAAATCCTTGAGACATCAACAACAGTTAAATCATCTCTTTTGAAAGAGATGAATTTTCTTGAAGAAATAGTTTACCTGCATCTCATTGTACCATATGGTACAACCTCCTTCGTCCTTCAGTCTAGTATTATAGCATCCCTTTCCACGGCTGCTACAAACGTGATACCAAACCTGGAAAAAAAAATTATGGGAAATATTCTACTTCAACAATGAAGTTGTATTTTAATGCAATTATTATCCTCGTGTGAAAATTAATTAATTGTCAACTGAAAATGCAGTATTAACTGAAAATACAGACTAAATTAAGGATAAGAAAGAAAACGCACACAAAGAAAAAGTATATTTTCTAAGACAAAATAGGAAGTCAGAAGTCACCATACAGCATTTTACTAAACTATCCTTTGCTCAGTTCAGTCTTACATCTACTTTGAGGTAAGATTACCTTCTCTTTTTCTGTTGCCACAAGAGAGATTGCCAGACCCATCCTGAAATGTGTGAAAAATTGATTTTAATGAATATTTCTAATTGCATATTAAGTCTTAAAGAAATCAAGTAAGCCTAAAGGAGATCAAACAAACATACCTTTCAGCTCTGCCAACTCGGCCAATTCGATGAACATAATTTTGTTTTTCATCAGGAAGAGTGACATTGATAACTGGTAAAACACACAAAACCACAACACAACATAGATACTTCCAATACTTCCACACACGGTGGAATGGAAAAAGTGAGAAAAACCCTTGCTCAGGGAGCATACAATTAATCGTTATAGTTAGCATGCTTATTCTGCCTTGGCTGCTGTAATCCCCTATCCTTTTGTTTTTTTAAAACATATTCAACACTGTAACTTACAAATGGAAAACAATACAAGTTCTCTTTGAAGCTAATTTGAAAGACATTTTTCTTCGTGTACTATATTTTTTCATTATATAGTTTTAAAGAATACTATAGTCAAGTTGACAGAAGTTCAACTAAGTTGAAAGTTCCAATTACGAAACCATATTTTCAGATATTTTTTCTTCTGAAAACCCCCCAATACAAATGAAGACGTATGTCAGATTAAAGTTGCCAATGCATTTTAATGATGGTTTGACTTTTTAACCTTTAAGTCCTTTTAATGTAGCTATAATATAGTTGCTTGGTTTAAGCAGTTCGTGCATCCACAAAATTAAGAAAAATTGTGCACAGTCCCCGTTAGGTTTACATGTTAGTCATGCTGAACCAGTCTTACCATAAGGAACACCATGAATATCAATTCCTCTAGCAGCTACGTCAGTGCAGATCAAGAACCTGACATCTCCTCTCTACAAAGAAACATATTTGTACTTAAAAAAAAATGTTTTAAGAGCCTATATATAGCCTGTCCAGTTAATGTCTTAGCAATCAATGCTCCAAGTACAAATCTGACATAGTAAGGTTAGTTATCCTTTGACACATGATGTTTTGGTCGATGAAAGTTACCCCTTTCAATCTCACATTTCCTTTCCAATGGTCTGAATTAAATCATTTACTTAAGGCAGAGATTTTCAACCAGACTGCCACTACATATTGGTGCTGCTAGATAGTGCAAACACCTACACGATTCAGAAGAAAAATTCAGAGATTTGACAGGAACCAAGGGCAGAGAAATATTAATTTTCCAAATTTTTTTAGGGGCCCCATGGGCCAGATAAAATGGTCTTGTGGGCCATATTTTGCCCACCTCTGCTCTAAACAAAATTAGAAAAACAGCCCAAAGAGCAATTCATATTACCTTAAATCTTTCCAAGTTTTGTTTTCTTTCTTGAGGCTTTCTGTCACCATGCAAACACACACATGAGAACTGATGTCCCTTCCTATCTGGGCCTGAAAAGTTAATTAAAATATTAATATCTTATATGTACATGTCTCCTGTATCTCGATTAAACTTATGTAACAGTTGGACTTGAAAAACTGCTTTGACGAAAAGCTGAGTGGCAAATGAATTTCTTTGTGCAAATGTCTTACGCAAAGGCTCTTAGAGCAGAGCCAATTAAGTTTAAACCTAACTGCAGAAGCACATACTATTTTGCTATAACATTTAAAGTACAAATTCACTATTTTTGGACTTGGTCCTGATCCATGACTAAGATTCTCATGTTCTGTCATACAATTAAGTGAGCATCAATTGCCAGTGATGCAAGTCAGTTATTAAAAGACCAATTCCTATTACAGATTTTAGAACACATCTAAATACAAAAACTCAAAACAAAACATTTTGTTCTGTATTTGATATAAGCATCATCATTTTAGCATTCCTTAAGAGAAAAAACGCAAAAAAAGGCCAATTTCCAGTCTGCACATTTAATTCCAGATATCGGTAAAGTGGCTCAACTAAGTTTACCTCCTCCTTGCTGGATGAAGTACTGCTCCAAGTTATCACAGTCTATTTTAGTTCGGCAGAAAATAATTGCTTGATCCATCTTGTGTTCCTTGATTGCTCGAACAGCATACTCTCCCTTTAGGATTTTAATAGCTTCAGACCACATTTCTAAGAAAGACAAAGCGTCTTTTATTTCTCAGACCTCAAGAAAAATGCCTTGCATTTGAAAGCTTGTCTGTCTATTCCTATCCCAACCATGCAGGTCGTCCAATGAGAAATATCACCCTAAGCAATCCTTGCCTCTTTGAGAATGAGTAAGAGAATGCCTTTGTCAAAGTTATTCGTAACATTGAGTAATTTTCTGATTTTGTTATAAGGCTATCCAGAGGCTAGAAGAATCATTTATCCCAGTAGATGGGTGTATCTGTGCTTATCTGCTCTTGCCACACTTTTTGATCCCAGCCTCAGTCAATATCCCCCACAGATGCCAGAAACAGTTTCATAGTTTCTAGGGTCGGAAGGGACCTGAGAAGATCATCTAGTCCGACCCCCTGCCATGGCAGGAAAGAGTACTGGGGTTAAACAACCCCCAGTAAGGTGTTCATCTAACCTTTTCTTAAAACCCCCCAGGGTAGAAGCCTGCACCACCTCCCTTGGAAGTTGGTTCCAGACCCTAGATGCCCTGACCGTGAAATAGCGCCTCCTGATGTCTAACCTAAACCTACCCTCTGCTAGCTTGTGACCGTTGTTCCTGGTCACTCCTGGCTGTGCTCAGGGGAACAGCGACTCCCCCAATGCCTGCTGATCCCCCCTGACCAGTTTGT